TCAATTTATGAATCAACATTTTTAGCAAGCGCCGAAAAGTTCGAAAAAAAAAAAACATACCAGTTCCATATTTGGCTTTAAGTTGGCGGGGCAAATGAAATTTTGTTTGGGTCACATGCTGTGAAATCATAAAAGAAATCACACACGAGTTTCAAATTTCATAGAGGGAAAACAATTTTTGAATTTGTTTCAAAAGAAAAGCGGTTATTCGTGGTAGAGCTTTAATATACTTAAATTAAAATATATTTAAAATATTCAGAATGCAATAAATAGTATAGAAAAACTTTTCTACAAATATTTTTGGCAAGAAAAATTTACCATTTTTACTTTAATTAAAATTTCATAAAAACTTTAAATTTTCAATAATAAATTCCTAACTCTTTGCCAACTAGTTCAACAAACTAAGTTTGTCAAATTTTTCCATTTATAAGCAATATGCTATCAATTTATGTGGCCATAAAAAAACTAGAAGCTAGAACTATTTTCCAGCACAGAAAACCTGACACATTGCCCAAAAAATATTGTGGGAAAACTTTGCTCTCCCCTTTCTCATATACTCTTGCTGATCAAATAGTTGTAAATTCTTTTTAGGTTATTTAATAGTCGCGTTAAAGCCTTGGCTAAACACAGCAAAAATCTTTGCGTACTTTGCGGCGACCATTTGGGCCAAGTCCCTTTAGTTTGCTGACGGCCCGGCCCCATTTCTATTTGCACATCGTTTTGTAATGTAATGCGAGTTGTTGCGACAAATTGCTGGGGATTTCGAGTCACTCGAAGCGCAGCGGGGCACACACAGAAACAGAGTATAAGGGAGAGGGAGAGGGAGTGGAAAAAATGCGAGGGAAGTGAGTGTTGAAGTGACACCCATGGCTTCGGTTGGGTATTTGTTCGTTTGCCGATTTTTAGCGTCAGTTTGCGAAAGCCTTAATGTGACAGCTACAGAAGACTTAAGAGGTGAATAACTTCGACTTTGACTTAGTGCGTGGGAGCGTGTCTTGTTCAGCTATCGTGACACATAAATTTAAAACGAAATAGGAAGGTGAATTTCGTTAATCATCTAACAAAAAATATTTTGAATGATGGATTCACATATTAATAGCAGAGCAAAAGGAAAAAATCATATATTTCAAACAATTATTTTTTATTATTGCATCACGCTACACATCGTACTATTGCACTGCACACACGTCCATCTCTAATTCAGATTGCTGCTGTTAAGCATGTACCGTTGTTTTAGTTGCCGGTTCTTCGGTTGCCTGTCTGCCCTCTCCCTCTCACTCACTAACTCTCACTCCCTCTCATTGCGATATTTTCTTTGGCCAACGTTCTCACCACTCATTTACGCAAATTTCACACTAAGCACTTCAGCACTGGGCACTTTGCGTTGCTGCAATAAGCTGCAGTCGGCAATCGGCTGAGCGGAAAGAGTTCGGGTAGCTGAAGCAGCAGCAGCAGCAGCAGCAAACTGTAAGCTGAAACTGTTTCTCTATATATGTATATGCATGCGTGTGTGTGCGGGTGTGAATGAGAGAGTGAGTGAGTGTGCTTGAGTATGTCTGTGCGCCAGCACGCAGTTGGATTTCAATTGGACACGATATTAGCTAAGTGGACCACTTTGGCGAGAGGCTTCAATTGATATTTAAAACGCAAATTTAGATGAAATCATATATATATATACTACAAAAATATATAAATATATACATATTTTTAAGTTTTAAAATCATTTTAATATTTAAGTTAAAGTCACTCAAAACTAACTTTGAAAGATGAAAATCTCTTATAAAGTTTGAGCCCTCTAAAATTACTTACATAAGTCAAGGTTCATTGAAAGACATTGATATATACATATATAGATATTGAAAAAAAAAGAAAAATACAATGGCAAACCAATACTTATTTTTGGTCTTATTTAACACGAGTATATCAGGGATATGGCATGTGCACAATATTTTTGTTGAGCCCGCATTTACTTTGCATTTAGTTCTTTTGTCTAGACACTTGTCGCAACATTCGCTTTGGCTAGTTCAAGCCAAGCGGCACAATTATAAACACATGCAACACTCACAGACCCACACACACACATACATACATTTTTCTCTCGCTCAAAATCAACAATGGACAGTTGAGTGCATTAGCTGAGCGGCAGCAGGTGCCGGAGGTGTGTCGCAAGCTTTGCATGAATGAATGGAAAAGCGGGCAATAGCCGTACTCATCCACTTGAATTGTTGTTACGACCTCGTTGTTTGGGCTTGTTATCCTCCAGCACAAAAGTTTCTCAATCAGCTCAGGTATTGAAATAGTCGCAAGTGGCAAGTAATAGTCCGATAAGTGAGCCGTATATCCATATATTGTTAGCTGTGCCAATGTCCTGTTGGCCCTCGGCTAAGTTTAGAGAGACTCTCAAAGGACAAACAGACAGCTAGATGGAGGAACTATCGAGCACATGTGGTGAGCACATTCTGCAAATGTTATTGACATTTTCGATTCGTTACGAATCGTCGTCATGCGAAACAATATAATGCAAACGCTATTTGTGAGATGTCTTTTAATAAATATCTTTCATAGATACATATGTGTTTATGTGTTATATAATTCAGTTTGTGGTCCAATATTGGTTACTTAAAGATTCATAACTATGAGTTAAAGTTTAGTTTTTGTTCTTCTTTGGGCATCTGTACAACCTGTTTACATAAATCCCGTCCTGTCAGCTCAGCACTCACATGTCTCATGTATGTATATTCCTTAGCTTATACAATTTGTGTGCCTTACTCATGCTGTCAATGCACGCAATTTCCATGCCCGTGGCTCACCTTTCGTGCCCCTTCCCCATTCGCCATTTTCTTGAAACTCTCCCTTTACAATTTCGCTAATGAAATGTATCTTCGCCTTTGGCTTTAAACGCTTATGACAAGGTTATTAATTACGTTTATTGCGTACTGCTTGACTGTTTCTCTTCGTCGGTAGCTGCTGCCAACGCTTTTCCCGTCGCCATCGATCAAAAATGTTGAAATATTCATTTTTATGAATTCTAACGAAGGTGTCAATAAGCCAAACACACATTGCCATAAATAACAGCAATTGTTACACATCCGTCTTTGTGTGCATGTGTGGATACCTTAGCTGTACTTAACTTAACTGCTTTTAATAATATTTGTTATGAATTAAAAAAAAAAGTATTAAAACTGGTATGCCATAAAAACTTCATGTTTAACATATATAAGCAAAGAAGTGCAAAAATCCTGTAAGAAATGAAAACGAAAAAGGAAGACATACGAAACATTAAAATAAAACTTATACTTAATATATTTTAATATATGTTTTCATTTATGATAATGCAACATGTTATCATGATAAAAAGTAAAATTTTTTACCCATATAATAATTTAAATGTAAAAAATGTGTATGTATAATAAAAACGTGTTATTTAAATAATTAATAAATAATATACTTATACTATAGCAAAACAAATAATGTATATAAAAAATACATTTAAAAATGAATAGCATATATATTATAACATAATATTGAAAAATAAAAAAAAATTTAATAAATAAAAATAAATAAAATAAAAATAAAACTTAGGAATAAAAAAGTTCATTTGTAAAAAGTTTAAAACCTATTAAAAATTAAATGTCTTTTAAAGCTAGTAGTAGTATTTAATGAATAATATAAAATATTTAGACAATTACAGACAAGTATTGTTAGAAAAACGTGCTAAAGGACTACGAATTTAGTTATTAAGAACCTTTAATCATACATAACATTGTTAATCCCTAAAGTTTTTGACCCAAATCAATGTTAATTTATTCATATTGTAAATTTAATTTGTTTAGATTACTTCGATTACCTCTTCAATCATAACAACTTAGATTTATTGTTTTTCAATATATTTTGATGTATAAATTAATAAGTGATTTTACGTTAACGAAAGCGTGTGTTTTTTCATGCGTTCATTACTTTGCTTTTTCATTAATCTGCATGAGTGTCTGTTTATTTTTTCACTTTTTCGTTTTGTAGCCACAAATCGATAGCTTAATTAAGCGTGAGCATTTCTCGGGCTTTTATTAATAGGTTATTTGCCTTGGCTCGCATCCGAAGCCCGGTTAACTAAACTCCTCGATTGGGCCATCCCCGGGTCCACAGGTCAATTAGTCAAAAAGGCTGCCAAGCGAGATGCTATTCGTTTTACTGTTCCGCATCCTGCTGTGCCATTCCAGACTGCCAGACCGTGGCCAATCAATGCCAATATATCGATACACTATATGTATATACATATAAATATGTTTATTTTTTACATGCTTAGCTAAGTGTGCCTTAAAGCTGTTCAAATTGACACATGTCTTCGGCTGTCCAATTTATGAGGCGCCTTCGGGCATTCGAAATGTAGAAGGTTAAAGTTAAAAATATGTGCTTTAATATTTTGCAGAAGTCGATGGTAAAAGGACATGTCTCGAAGCAGCACCTGCATGAGGTGCAAAACGTTTTAGATTACAAACTTAACTCGATTTGCAGCCTCAACGAGCGAACGCTCGAAAGTATGCAACAAGTTTTTCTATTTTCTGGCCTTGGTGCAAAAGCCCTTGAGGAGTGAAAATCTGAGATTCCTCACCATAAACTGTGCTCAAATTCATCTTCGCCAGGTCGGCTAGATGCTGTTTTCTTTGCAATTACAAATTACGCATACGCCATGGCTGACGGCAGCTGATGACAGGACTCTGGGCGCTTGAGGCTAAAAATTACAAGCAGAGTGCATAAGCTGCTGACACATTGCGTGCCACGCCCACTTAAAAGTGGTAAGCCAGTATGCTAGTGTGTGTGTGTGAGTGCGCCTTTATGTATGTGTATGTGTGTGCCAGTGCTCAGGTTGAACCGAATGAGTTTCCATTATGAGCTTAGCCATGTGTCTCGCTGTGAGCAGTTGCATGTTTGTTGACATCCTTTTAGGACTCGTCATAATAATAATAAAATGCTGCTGCCACACACACACACACACACAGACACATGTACACACTACTCTTGCTGTCAGTGCAGCTCAGCGGCAACAATGGCAATTGTCTTGAGTTGGCACCAACAACAGCTCGACACAGTTGAAGCTCGCGTGTTGCGCTTTTTGTGCTCACCTTTTGGGGTTTCTAGGGGCCTTCAGATCTATTACAGTTAACAGCAGCTGTCGACTTGAAAAACTTACCGGCAACTGGCTTAAATCTGGTAAACAACCAGAGTGAAAAACATGCAAAAGCAAGCTTAGGTTTGCAGACTATTTGTAGATTAAAATTATAAATAAAAAAATCAATAATGACATATTCAATTTAAAGATAATTCCGTTTCTT